GAGAAAGAGAGAGAGAGAGAGAGAGAGAGAGAGAGACATTAGTAAAGCAAGCTGTTCAGTGATGATTTCTGTTTCTGTTGGTGTAAATTCAGAAAAAAACATCATGCATAACAGCTGAATTCTCAGTCAAGAACTAAACTACCCATAATCCTCAGATCCACCAATCAGAGAAGACGCTGCTACCATGGAAACACAAATTATGGCAAAAGTGCTCAATAGTGACCTCATAAAGTACTCTGAATGACGTCATCGGGTCTCTGCACACTCCAGTAAGATTCTTTAGTAAAAGAAATGAACACTTCTATTCATCAAGGATGCATTAAATTGGTCAAAAGTGACAGTAAAGACATTTATAATGTTACAAAAGATTTCTATTTCAAATAAATGCTGTTCTTCTGAACTTTCTGTTCATCTGTGAATCCTGAAAAATAAAATGCATCACAGTTAAATATATTATGTAAGACAATATACTTTGTTTTATATTTTAAAAATATAGAAAATATTGTTTTCCAAAAAGTGAGGCAGGCCAGCTTTATCATTCCCCTCCAGCCCCAAGTGATGAGTGCTGCAGCTGATTCTGGAGCTGATGTGTGTTTATGAGCACTGAACCCTCAGCTGACCTCTGACCTCTGACCTCTGTCACATGATCTCTCTTCTCCTGTAGGATGACTTGAGCTTCTCTGTAAAGACTCTCTCTCTCTCTCTCTCTCTCTCTCTCTCTCTCTCTTCTGCTGCTGTACGCTGTATGTTACATAACTGCATTACATAATTCACTGTTCTCCAACACGTGAGTGTGTGTCAGTGATTATGAGCGTGTCTAACAGGATTACCCTTATTCCACTGATCTCTGAGATGGGCTCGCCCGCACACACATGCACATGCACAAGCACACACACCTCCAGCCCCAAGTGATGAGTGCTGCAGCTGATTCTGGAGCTGATGTGTGTTTATGAGCACTGAACCCTCAGCTGACCTCTGACCTCTGACCTCTGTCACATGATCTCTCTTCTCCTGTAGGATGACTTGAGCTTCTCTGTAAAGACTCTCTCTCTCTCTCTCTCTCTCTCTCTCTCTCTCTCTTCTGCTGCTGTACGCTGTATGTTACATAACTGCATTACATAATTCACTGTTCTCCAACACGTGAGTGTGTGTCAGTGATTATGAGCGTGTCTAACAGGATTACCCTTATTCCACTGATCTCTGAGATGGGCTCGCCCGCACACACATGCACATGCACAAGCACACACACACACACACACACACACACACAAACACACTGGCCCTGTGTGTTACGCTGTGGACTGTCATCACCTTTCAGCGGGTGTGAAATGTGCTCAGTGGAGCTGAAACGTTTCAATACCCATCCGTCTGTCTGTCTGTCTACAGCAGCTCTGTCTCACTCTAATAAACACAGACGCACCTGTCTCACTGCATTACCTGCCTCATGCTAATATAAACTGTCTCACTGCATCAGCACCTGTCTCACACTTCCAGGCGGAAAGACTAACTTCGATAATCATGTAGTGCTCCTAAACTCCGCCCCTGAAATCTCACGCTCACCTGAGAGCCACGCCCACATCTCAACAGCCAATCAACAACTGATGCAAAGAACCAAGTCCCGCCCTACATTTGTTTCTTTTTCAATAATCTCTTTACTCAGATGTAATAATCAGACTCTACTAATGATGTGTTTCCAGTGTAATATGTGTATTTGATCAGTCTGATTCACATTTCTGCTCATTTCTTCAGAGTTTAATCCTTCTATCACCTATTCAGTAGAGCCATACAGAATAACCTGACATTTAGAAATAGTCATCAGAAAGTGTTATGCACAACACAACATGAAGATTAAAAGCTGATGAGTTTGTTTGCACTTACAGATGGATGCCGGATCATATTTTAGAATTTAGTTCACCTAATGATGCCCTGTATGTGAACGTGAGGTTCATGTTAGGACAGACTTCACTAAAACAAAGACGGATGCGTAACCCAGATCATTCTGTTATTAGCTGCTGTACAGCCATCAGCGTGCAAATAAACCTGTGAATTATTCAATGCATCATTTCTGCTGGAACAGTTTTGCACATTTACTAAAGTGTTATTTCAATTGTTATTTGGATATCTATAAAGGCAGATGATGCACAGCTACAGAGAATTACCAAACCCCTTCATTAATGCATTCCTTCAGACTAATCGTTCTGAGGATGCTCAGTAAACTCAGTATCAGCCGGAAATACCGGAGAATCAACTGAAGCCAGGCCTCGTTGGATGAATTGATCAGCCGTTCCCGTCAGATTCGTCATATTTCACAGCTGTTCGGCTGATGTCGTATAAACTGCTGACTGGAGCACAAATCACCTCGTTCAGTTCAGTGAGGAAATTCAAAGCGTTAGTAAAAACTATAAAGAAAATCTATATAATTACATTCTTTTCTGTGAACAAGTTCTTTTGTTTTTATGGATTTTAACATGATAAAACGCGTTAAACAGACAGATACTGCCAAAAATCTTGAATACTTTAAAAACTGCATAACAACCACAGTCCGTTCACTGGAAAACACGGGTGAAAATCACAAGCTACAGTCAGGATGTCTGAATTAAAGGAAGAGTTCAGCCAAACATGACACTTAGCTGAAAAATGTCCTCGCCTTCAGGCCGTCTGAGATCAGGATGAGTGTGTTTCTTCATCAGGTTTGTAGAAATGTAGCATTGCATCAGTGTCTCAGCAATGGATGCTCTGCAGTGAATGGGTGCCGTCAGAATGAGAGTCCAAACAGCTGATAAAAACATCACAATAATCCACAAGTAATCCACAGCACTCCAGTCCATCAGCTATCATCTGGAGAAGACAAAAGCTGAAACACATCCAGCATTGAGATGTTTTTAACTCAAATACAATAGAGTCCATAATCCATAATAACGCTTCCTCCAGTGAAAAAGTGTTCTGGTGTGAATCAGGAGAGAAATCTGCACAGATCAAGCAGCGCTTAAACAGCTCTAAACACATATGTGGCTGGATTTTGATGCGAGAGACAACAGGAGATGGACTTTTTCACTGGAGGAAGCGTTATTATGGATTATGGACTCTATGGTATTTGAGTTAAAAACATCTTAATGCTGGATTTGTTTCAGCTTTTGTCTTCTCCAGATGTTAACTGATGGACTGGAGTGCTGTGGATTACTTGTGGATTATTGTGATGTTTTTATCAGCTGTTTGGACTCTCATTCTGACGGCACCCATTCACTGCAGAGCATCCATTGCTGAGACACTGATGCAGTGCTACATTTCTACAAACCTGATGAAGACACAAACTCATCCTAATCTCAGATGGCCTGAGGGTGAGCACATTTGCAGCAAATGTTTATTCATCGAGTCAACCTTTCCTTTAATACGGTCGGAGTCAGACCCTCAACACAGCAAGCACTGGATCTGACCCGAACCAAACTAAATCAGAAACTCATTCATCCTGCAGCTCCAGAGAGTCGCGCTGTCTGCTGTCAGTCACACTGTGGCTCAAACCGGAAGTGCATCTTGAAGCTCGTTTACATATGTGGACAGAACGTATGAATGCATCCAAAGATAAAATACGGAAGAATCTGAATGCTCTGAGAAAGACAACAAAAGCCTCACAAATGTACTCCGTATGACTTGTGCGCTTCACTCTTTAAAATAAGGCTCAGTGATGCCACATGAAGAACCATTTTTGGTTCACCAAACAACCTTTAAGCGATCCATTTTTTTTCTTATAGTGTGAAGAACTTTTGAATCCTCTAAAGAACCCTTTTCCACTATAACGAACCTTTAGTGCAATGGAAACGGATCTTTATGGAACCATCATGCATGGGAACTTTATGTTTAATATTCCAAGCCTTCTATAGATTTTCAGCGAATAATGGCTTAAATTTGGATCTGTTTTTCACACAAAGCTATCGTATGACCTTAGCAGAAGCGCACAAGCCATACGCATGATGAACTATGAAGAGCTGCATGAATGTTCTCCAGAACTTCAGATGCGGTTCTTCTCGGAGCTCCTACCTTCCAGACAGCAGGTCCTCCACAGGCCAGAATGGGTCATCACCTCCTCGTTCTTCTTGCTGGTCTCGTTCTCGTTAGTAGTCTTTATTTTGCAGACCCCGCGCGAGTAGAGCCAGTAGTCCGTCCCCACAGCAATGGTCATCAGACTGAAGGCGGCGAAGGCACCCACCGTGGTCAGCAGCATCTGGACGCCGCGCTCAAACACACCCATGTTGCCGCATTCCACGAAAGGGGAGCCCCCTTTCCTCTTGATGTATAGGAAATAAATATTTGTGGATTTAAGGGGACGAAAAATAAGAAGAATCAGGGCGAGGGCCCTCGAGGGTTTGTGAACTGAAGGAGAAGGAAGACAAAGGCAGGCCGCTTCCTCCTACACTTAAACACTAATGCAACTCATCAAGTGATGAACTCGACCCAGATAGCACATCTGATCTGGAAAGCATCTGCTGTGTACAAACATCTGTAAGATGTCAGTTTTACATACATTCTAAGTCTAAAGACATCTCGTAGAGGTATTGCAGATGTAAACGCAGAGGTCAAGTAGACGATGTGCGTGTGCTGTCAGGGGAAAGCGACACACTGGCAAACGATAAACTCATCTTCACTCAATCTGGCCTGTTCTCGATCCGATCCAGCAGCTGTCTACTGAGGGCACGAGGGAGAGACCGAAGGCTCCAGGTTTCCGAACCGCTGCCGGTCCAGCAGAGGAGCTCGCGCTCGCGCATCCATCAATCTGATATTCCAAGAATGGATTCAAAAACAGTTCGGCGTGAAAATCATTCAGGGTTGCGACGCGTGAGTGAAATCAATCCATCCTGGTGATTATTAAAGAAAAAAAGCGGATAGCCTATTAGAAAAAGAAAAAAAAAATGAAACGTGAAATCACTCGCTTGACTTTTTCCTAAAATTCTGGTCTCCAGTTTCCATAGGTGGCCTTTATCCGTCGAATGCTTCGTGAATCCGGTCCGAAGAAGCGACGGTCCGCAGCAACCCTGCTGTTCTCCCGTTCCCCGAACCGCTCACATCACACCCGGTGCCCGTTTCGCAGCCCAACGGCGCCATCAAACACACACACACACACACACACACACACACACACACACACACACACACACACAGCGAAAAAAACCGAATCACGACAGATGAACAAAACCGTCTCACCGAACGGAATAGCGGCTGATTCTATTCCGTCTGTAATTTGGCGTCACAGTCCTTCAGAATTCCAGAACGATGCGGATGCTATTCCTCCAGTCCAGATGCGTGACTGAGGAACATCTGGAGCTGAAGGCCCAGACAGTCTCATCTCAGTCTTTCAGACCTCAGATCTGCCACTTGATCACATTTGAGGTTTTATTTGGTTAAAACTAGCCTATGTGGTATTTGTAGGCGACTGCTGATATTTTGCAGTAGTGAGGATCACTGGAGGACTGATGGATGCTCTGCAGCTGGTGCTGAGGCTGGACGGATCCTGCTGTTACCAAGGCGACTGTCTCCCTCTTGCGATGGATTCAGCGTTAGAGATGCGAGAGCATAAACATTAACATTCGTTTGCATGTCAGCAGCTGGACTGTAATCATCGCATTACTGCTCAGATCGTCTCAGTGAGGTCCGGATGAGAGAGAAGCAGGAGCCACTCAGACAGATCGGCTTTTTTAGCCATCGGTGCTCCAGAGCAGAGCAGAGGACACACTTTACATTCAGGACGCGACGAGCAGCAGCCAGTGCGGCACACAGAGCCAGAGATCAAGAAGATTTATGAATTTAGAATACAATGCAGTGACGTCACGCGAAAGCAGGCTCGCGATTGGCTGCGGCTCTGGCTGATGGTGCTGCAGTTGATGTGTCTGTGTTCCTCATGTCTCACATCACACACACACACACACACACACCATCAACATCACTGCTACGGCACACGGCACTTACACAAGCAGAAAAATGAAGGAGAAATATGGAAATCAAATTTGCATCGAATAAACTCACTTTTGTTATAAAATACATTGACAAACATAAGAACATAAACTGAAAGTAAATAATGCAATAAAAGGTAAAAGTAAAGTTACTTAATTTCTGGGTTTCATATAGCAGTTAAAAATAATAATAAATAAAAAAAGACAAATTTAAGTCTCTTGGATTGACCTACAGTGATGTTAATGTAATAACTTTTGTTAATATAATTACTTTTTTTTTTAATAGCTAGAGCTCATTTCTCGATACTCTTCACACCCTTCAGACTATTCTTCTAACCATCTTGGCACAGCAGTTATTTCACATCCAAAATGCACTAAAACTAGCAAAACCCTTCATACAGTCTCAGATCAGCTCATTCTTCATATCACTGATAGCCAAAAAAACGCTCACAACAGTAACATTACATAATGTTTTCTTTTGTAAAATTTCTTCACAAAACAAGAATGAGACTTCGGGAGTGAGATAAATCTTACAAAATCTCCATTTGTGGCCATGATGTCCTCATCTGTGAAAACATCAGATACAAATGTGATATAAAACACAGTCAGTCTTCATTGAGGGTTAGATGACAGTATTTATAATTAGCTCCATATAAAAACAATAGAAGTCTATGGAATGTTACTATGTAGTACATGAGTGTGAGAGTGAGTGAGTGTGTGTGTGTGTGTGTGCGTGCGTTTGTGTGTGTGTGAGTGTGTGCGCGTGTGTGAGTGTGTGTGTGCGTGTGTGTGTGTGTGAGTGTGTCTGTGAGTGTGTGTGTGTGTGTGCGTGCGTTTGGGTGTGTGTGAGTGTGTGTGTGCGTGTGTGTGTGTGTGAGTGTGTCTGTGAGTGTGTGTGTGTGTGTGCGTGCGTTTGGGTGTGTGTGAGTGTGTGTGTGCGTGTGTGTGTGTGTGAGTGTGTCTGTGAGTGTGTGTGTGTGTGTGCGTGCGTTTGGGTGTGTGTGAGTGTGTGTGTGTGTGTGTGTTTGAGTGGCTCAATCAGAGTATCTGGCAGCTCTCACATGCTGGTTTATTTGCTCGATCTGTCATCAAACACACAATTCACAGCAGCCATTAGATGGATTACATCAACCGAGCAAACAGCTGTCTGTCTGTCTCTGTGAGTGTCTTTGTGAGTGAGTGAGTGTGTGTATGTTTGTCTGCTTAATTCCTCTCAGCATCATTGATAACTGACCGTCAGTGTTGTGTTGTGTCTCTCGGTCAGTGTATGAGAGCATCTGTGCTCACATCTGAAGTGCAAATCAAGCATTTTGAAGTGTTCCTGCAGCTCAAACAGTGGATCATGGCATTGGCAACCTTAAAGTCAAAGTTCAATTCACAGAGAATGCATGAGCTGATCAAAATGTGCCTTCAATGCAACGTAAGCTGCTTTGGATAAAATATTCTGACAAATGTATAAATGAAAATGATGCTGGGGTATTCCACACACACACACGCACGCACACACACACACACGCACGCACGCACACACACACACACTCAAACATATATACACATTTATATATTCTTTTCATTGTCTAAATTAATAATACATATAATCTTAGGTCTTGAAGGCACTTGAATTATTTTTTAAATCAGGCTGAATGGAAAAGCTTTGTAAATTCAGGGGGAAAGAATATCTTTTGGAATTTCAAGGCTTTAGTCACTGAATGTATAACACACACACACACACACACACACAGTCAGCTGAGCATGAGTGCAGGTGTGTGTGAGTCTGACTAGAGCAGAGATGTGCTGACTGTCCAGTTTCCATGGGAACATCTTCATCTGCGCAGCATTCATTCATTCATGTGTCAGAGTGTGTGTTCATGTGTGTGTGTGTGTGTGTCCTTCACTGCACCTGTCTGCTGCGCGTCACGCCTGCGCTCACATCACATCAGCAGCCTTGACTGAGAGTGTGTACTTTCATCAATCAACAATCAAAAGTTCACGTTTACAGAATACTACACAAGCAGAATATCTGAACCTGTCTAAAAATATTAAAGCTATTATTAAAGACATCTTACACACTGTCCACGTGTCTTGTGCTCTCATGTCATTGCATTGAGAAGAACATTATTTAAAATGATTCTTTTTCATTCTGCAGACGTCACGCAGGTGTGGAGTGAAGTGAGAGTAAATGATGACAGAATGATCAATTTGGGAAGAGACCGCTTTAATCCAGAATGACTCTTAATTCTCTAATAAATGAATGAATGTGAGAAAGAAACAGCAATAACTGCAGTGAGCGCTGAATGCTGAACAATCAGTAGATACACACGAGTGAACACCAGTCAGGCATCACCCTGATCCAGAAACACACTTATTCAGATTTCAAAATCTGGATTACTAGTGCTCTACGGAGCCCTAACGAGACATGATGATGGGAAAAAATGCCAGTGTTTTGCATTGCATTTACACACAGAACTACTTCTGACTGGTCCATCTCTGATGATTGTGCCAATGTAGTTTACAATCAGTGATCAAAAAACAAAAAAAACTTTAAATATATTTTTGTTTGATACTGACAGCTGTTTGAGGATATATTACACACGTTGTATTTTTTGCACCTGTTTTAAAGTTTTATTACATTCTTGTTCCTGAAATCCACCCTTCTGCTGGGATCAGAACAATCCAGGTTTTTTGGATCAAAAGTAGAAACGAAGCATTGAATCAATTGCTTCGAAAAATGATTCAATGATTGGAAGCACTTGAAACAGCACGCGCTGGCGACACCTGCTGGTGAACACCTGTAAAAGCATCAAGAACTCAGAACAAACTTACAAAACTTTTTTTTAGAAATACCATTTTTAAAAATAAACAAATACTACTAAACATTAGTGCTTGTGTTATGTGTTTTATTTAAGTATAATCAAACCCTTAACACACAATGAACTAAATTAATGTTTAATGAATTAATTGATTTATGCAATTATTTGTTTTCATTAGAGCGGTCTATAAAAACCAGCAGGCAAGAGTAGTGTTATCAGTCAGGAGAAGGAGGTGGATTTAATTCTATCATAAGCTCATTTAGTTATTTTTAAGGTATGATGTGATTTGTAGGTTGAAAGCACTGAATGTTTTTACACTTTTAAACTATATAGCCATCTGTGTTAAAGGGAAAATAATAATAATGGGAAGTAAAACCCTCTTTAAAAGCACAAGTAAATAGTGTCAAACCCTTAACACACAATGAACTAAATTAATGTTTAATGAATGAGTTGATTTATGCAATTATTTGTTTTCATTAGAGCTGTCTATAAAAACCAGCAGGCAAGAGTAGTGTTATCAGTCAGGAGAAGGAGGTGGATTTAATTCTATCATAAGCTCATTTAGTTATTTTTAAGGTATGATGTGATTTGTAGGTTGAAAGCACTGAATGTTTTTACACTTTTAAACTATATAGCCATCTGTGTTAAAGGGAAAATAATAATAATGGGAAGTAAAACCCTCTTTAAAAGCACAAGTAAATAGTGTTTTACAGAAGAACACAACACACACAACACCAAAAAAAAAAAAAGTAAAATCACAGAGATTAAAAGAGAATGAAACTGCTGAAGATCTGTTGAAGCAGGTTTGAGATATTAAAGCAGCACTGTGTAACTATGTAACGCTCTAGCGGTTAATAAACAGAACTGCACACATCCCGCGGAAGAACATTCTAACCGGATCTACTTCTCTAAGTTGATGTCTATGGCGATTCATGCAGGTATGTGTTACTCCGCAGCGGTGACACACTCACTCACACACTCTCACACACACACACACTAACACACTCACTCACACTCTCACTCACACGCACTCTCTCACACACGCACTCTCACTCACACGCACTCTCTCACACACACACACTCTCACACGCACTCTCTCACTCACACACACTCTCACTCACTCACACACACACACACACACACTCACTAACACACTCTAAGGTATGATGTGATTTGTAGGTTGAAAGCACTGAATGTTTTTACACTTTTAAACTATATAGCCATCTGTGTTAAAGGGAAAATAATAATAATGGGAAGTAAAACCCTCTTTAAAAGCACAAGTAAATAGTGTTTTACAGAAGAACACAACACACACAACACCAAAAAAAAAAAAGTAAAATCACAGAGATTAAAAGAGAATTGAACTGCTGAAGATCTGTTGAAGCAGGTTTGAGATATTAAAGCAGCACTGTGTAACTATGTAACGCTCTAGCGGTTAATAAACAAAACCGCACACATCCCGCGGAAGAACATTCCGACCGGATCTACTTCTCTAAGTGTATGTCTCTGGCGATTCACGCAGGTGTGTGTTAATCCGCAGCGGTGACCAGCCTACAATAGTCCGAATATAAGCACTTATTAGAAGTGTACCGGAGTGATTCGGAATAAGACAAAAACACGGTTTGGAAGATGAACTCATGATGTACTCGCTCATTATATACATTTAGCAAATTTTGAACGCATGCAGAAAAAGTTACATAGTGCTGCTTTAATAATTAAACAGTCAAAAACACCAGTAT